CAATATACCCCTAATTTTTTTTTAATATGTTTAAAAAAAAACCGTAAAATGGTTATAGAGCCCTAAGAAGTTGTTGATGACTTCAAGTAAAATTCAATCTGAGTGGTTAATAATGCAGGCAACGCAAGTATGATGGTATTGGGTTATGCAGCTCTATTACGTGGATCAAGCCCTGTGGCAATGTTGGTCTAGCTCTTGAGGAGAATCATGGCCCAACCAGCTATTACACTGAAGTACAGTTTAGTATAGTATATTAACAAACATTTAATGAGCAAAACTCAAAAAATACCATTCATCAATTTGACACAAACATGTTAAATGAGTAAGAGGCTAACACACTCCACAAACTTGACTCTTTCAAGCACAAAGCTTTCCACTTGAAATTTCGTAAATTCAGTACATCAATTCTATTTTTGGGTTTTAGCTAAGTGAAAATTATAAGAGTTAAATGTTATTTATAGTATTGGCTTAGGGCATTTTTATCCTCTGACATTTAAATATATGCAAAGTGCCCTCACGTGATTTTGACCCATTTTGCACTTTACCTTTCTACTGTTACCAATTTTGTCCAATTTGACAGATTTTGTGTCACATGAGCCTCTTTTAAGAGTTGGCATGAAAAAAAAAGAGTCAAAAGTCAAATTTTAGTGTAAAAAGACAAATTTTCCATTTCATTTTCTTCTTCCCTGTTTGAAAACCCTAACCCTAACTCACCCACTCTCTCTCACCACTATCCCCCCCACCTCTCCCACCATCCCCCACCTCTCTACCATGCCCACCACCTCCTTTTCAGCACTACTCGGGTTTCACAAATTTCTTTCACAAATAACTTTCATTTATTTACAACATTCATTGCAAAAATTGTCTCAAAATCACTAATTATGGAAACGTAAGCAAGTTTTGATGAAATGGAGGTGAGCTTGAAGCAAAGAAATATTTTCTTCTTCTTTTTTTCTTTAATTTTTTTTAAGGAAAAAAATCAACAAAACAAAACAAAGTGTAGATTGCTGCACCTGAATCATATTCGTTTTCCTTTTTTCTTTTTTCAACTAATCTCTTAGGTTATTTGGATTTGAAGTAAACAATATACATATAAACAACACACATGCATATCTACATACATATCACTCTATATATACATTACACATATATATACATAATTTCTTTGGGTTTGAATTTCAAATTTAAATTGGAAATTCAAAATCAAAAACAAATGTGTATCATGTGATATAATGGGATTATTGGATCTTAAAACCATGATTTATGATGGTTGTTACAGTGGTTGAAATTCAAACCCAAAATCAAATGTGCATCATGTGATGCAGTGGGATTGTTGGATCTTAAAACCATGAATTTTTCTGGGTGTTACAATGGGGAGTAGGGAGTAAGACAGTGTTATAGTATTGAGGGTGTTCAATTCTTTTTGCAATTTCCGAAAACATATTGTTATTTTAGTTCAATTTATTTACAAGTAAAATGCTTTAAAGGTAAAACCACAAGGGGGTAGAGCAGAATTTACTCAATGATAAATTACAGTTCATTAAGAACAAACCCATAAATCCCCAAAAATGCAGAGTACCTTCATTGATTGTTACCTAATACTATTACATACTGCAATTAATCAGCTGAATAATCCAAGCACTTCGACGCAAGGTCAAAAGAATCCATTTGGTTTCTCTACTGGGGTTTTGAAAATCAGAACATAATCAATATGGTGTTTCAATCTTCAAAACTCCATAGGACTTGTATCCATATGAATATATATATGTGTATATATATATATATATATAAGAAAAAAACTAGGAATCAAAATCCAAGGAGCATCAAGATATCAAAATGTGAAAAACCCAATATAGTACCTTGTAAAGGTGAGAGAATTAGGATGAGAACGAGATTGTCTAAGACCTCCACCAAACCCGCTAATCTGGGACTGGACAAGAGTTGACGAACTCCACGAAGCTGTTGCCACTCTCTCTAAAAACCTCTCTCTCAATTCTAATCTATCTAGTAGTGAGAGTTTTTTTTTTTTTTTTTGGTTTTTTTTGAACTGTGTAGTGAGACAGTTTGGTGCTTCCTGTTTTCTGTCTCTCTAGTCTCTCTACCTGTAACCAAAATTTCAGCCCCCGAATAAATATTGTCCTTATTTGGATGGTTAATTTGATGACCGTGAAAAAGTCAAATGATTATTGATTATATGTGATATTTTATTTTATTAATTATTTTAATTTATTTTATCTTTTAGTGAGTAATTTTAGTTCAATTCTCTTTTCAAATACCTCTAATATAATGAATAATGATAATGAAATTATTTAGTGAAAAATTATTGTTTTAATTTTTTTTTTTCTATTTGTATCTTATTGCTGCTAGATCATCAGACTACTGGAAAATGGTTGGAAAAGACGCCATAAAGTTGCTGACACAACTGTTGGTGGTGGTGATTTGGACAAATAGATATATTAGATGGACAAAATAGACAAATCAATTGAACAGATAGGTGATATAGAGTGCCTCTATGTACAAATCACTTTTCATCTTAAGGCACACCACTACTCAAGGTACTCCTTTAGTAATTTAAAAAATAAGAAATTTGCTCAATATACACTACAATATTCTATTTTTACCCTTAGTCACATACCTCACCACCAACACCGCCTGTAACCCAACTCCGTCGCCGGCGCGGTATAGCCCCTCTCCCTTCCTCTCTCTTTTTCACCATCGATACCGTCACTCCCCGATCCCCTAATTTCTCCATCACTGGCACTGTTTCTTCCCCTATTTAGCCATCTATTTTTCTCATCAATTCTCCCCAGCTCCCTCATGTTCCCCACTACCCCTTCCCTAACCCTCTTCTGTTAATGTCATAACCCCCAACCCTGCAAATCTCGAGCAAGAGAAAGAAAGAGATTCAACGAAGAAGTAAAGAAATAGTGGCGAAAAACCAGCATCGAACAAATTATCAATGTTCTGATATTGTCTTTTCGAATTGGTTTACGATGTTCGGAAGTTGCAGAACGAACTTCAGTCGCAAGTTCAGATATTGCAAATCGACCATGGTTTGCGATCTAGTAGTGGTGGGCGGCAAAAGAGGGCTACGGTTTTAGAAGAAGAAAATAAGAGAGGTGGTGGTTGTGCACAAGGTAGAGGATAAGACAATGGTTCTGGTTGGAGAATGAAGGGTTGCGGTGGTTCTAAGAAGAGGGAAGAACGGTAGAGTAAATAAGGACGATGGAAAAAGGAGTGATATCAATCGTGGAGTGGCTGTGGAGAGGGATCACGAAAGTGGAGAGTTAAGAGATGGCTGGCGTTGTGCTGGGAGTGATGGCGGCAACAACACATTTTCCGGCGAGGTGAGGGGTAGCTGTTAGGGTTTCAGAAAAGAAGATGAGGGTAATTTGGATATTTAATTTGGGGATATAATTGTAATTATATTTTTTTAGAAAATGGTGTGTCTTGAGATGAAAGGTGATGCGTAAATAGAGGCACTCGGTGATATATGAATAAATATGATAATGATACATGGACAAATAGGCTGACAGATAGAATATTTGGATAAATAAGAATGTTTACAGTAACAGATTAAGCATTCATCACACCTCCCAACCAGCTTTAATTTTAGAACCTAGCAATTAAGGCGACTAAAATAAAATCAAAAAGAAAAATAAAAGCAACTACTCTAAACCACTTCCGCAAGAAATCACGATTGAATTTAGCACATGCAACAAGCCCTTAATCCAATAGATTACCCCTCATGGACGAGTTAAAGTCTCATGTTTCCAAAGATGTTACCCACAAATATCCAAAAATTTCTTTACTAAAACGACTTCTTTCATTCTCATGCCAAGGTTAAAGAACCAGCAATGAATTTCACAACCTCAAAGTTCAAAAGACTAGCAGCAAGTAAAGATATTGCATGACATTCAAAATTTGGAGTGTGTTAAAAAAGTTCAACCAACACAGACACAACCTTAGCCTTAAAGTGAAATATAACCCAAATCTCTTTCTGAAACATGCTTCGACTCAAATCTCACCAGTTATTGCACTCAACAAATAAATCACTCGGAATATGGTGCAAAAATTGCTCTCAATATATGCGAGTAGAACAATGTAAATCAAAGCTAAAATATCCCGCATACTAATTTTTTTGAAAAACGCTAATATGAAAGAATAAATAAATAGTCTCATGAATGGAATATCAAATACTGAGAAATAAAATTTCTAGAAATGTCACCCACAAACGTCAAAAATTTTCTTTACTTGAAGGATTTCTTTCGTTCTCATGCTAAAGTTCAAGAACAAGTCATGAATTTCACAACCTTAACAAGACAACCAATCAAAGTTCAAGACACTAGCAGCAAGTAAAGATATCTCATGACATTCAGAATATGGCGTGTGTGAAAAAGTTTAGCCAACACATATACAACCTTAGCCTTCAAGTAAAATATAACCCAAATCTCTTTCTGAAACATGCTTCGACTCAAATCTCACCAGTTATTGCACTCAACAAATAAATCACTTAGAATATGGTGTAAAAATTACTCTCAATATATGCGAGTAGAATAATGTAAATCAAAGGCAAAATATCCCGCATACTAATTTTTTGGAAAAACGCTATAATGAAAGAATAAATAAATAGTCTCATGAATGGAATATCAAATACTGAGAATTAAAATTACCACACCATCACCCCAATCCATCATGTCCACTTGTAAACTATACCACACTCAAGATCAAATAGGACTTTTATTTGGTTGTAATGCTTGGGTTGAGGAATTACGAAAAAATAATAAAAAGCCAAAGGTGAATAAAAAAAAGGACGTCTGAGAGACAATTGGCATAAAAATAAACACAATTAGAGCATTATTCCAAATGCCTTGCTCTTTCTATTTCTTTTCTTTTTGTCTTTTTCAACTTCCTCCTTCTGCTTTTTTTTTTTTTCTTTTTGTTTTTTTTTCCCTTCGTTGAACACAATTTATTTCTTCTTCTTTTTTTCAGCATTTCTCCTTTTTTTTTTCCAAACAAATTTGCCATTGTCAAACTCAAATAATCCCAACATATCTACAAAAGTAAAAAGAAAGTATGGGTTGTGGGGTTAAACAAAGAAAGGCTAACATAAAGGCTCAAATTGGTTTCTAATGGTTCATGAAGTAATAATAAAAGAAAGAAAAATAAATTAAAGGCTCAAAGAAACAAAGATGGCCTAAAATCATCTCTCAAGAATTAGTATGGTCCTTCAACTTTCATGATCTCAAGGGAATAAAAGTGTCATAACAAATTGATTTATTCTCAGCATTCAACCAAAATGAAGAAATAATGAGACTAACCAACAAATTAATGTCCTTCCAAAGAAAATTAAGAGTAGATGTATAGTAACCCGCCAATAAATGATTGGCACAAAACTCACAGGGTTAAAAGTCACCACTATCATTCTTCAAGATTTTCAAGTCATATCCACTGATCAACTAAAAATTATATTCATGTGGCTAAAGTGCAGTGCAATTATTTCCAAATACGAACACATGAAATACTTTAACAAAGTAGCTAGCATACCAAACTTCAACACAATTTCTCAAGTTAAAGCAATAAAATACTACAAGTATGCCGAATCACTCAATGCATAGAACAATACAATACCATGCACACCTTTTTTTCTTTTTTTAAACAAAACAACAAACTCATTGTAGCAAGCAAACATATAAATTCTTCCCAAAATAAGTATTTTCTCAGCCCAACCCAAACGATGCATCATCCTCGAGGGAGTAAAAAGTGTGATAACAAATTGATTTGTTCTCAGCATTCAACCAAAAATGAAAAAATAATGAGACTAATCAACAAATTAATGCGCTTCCAAAGAAAAATTAAGAGTAGATGTATAATGACCCTCCAATAAATGATTGGCACAAAACTCACAGGGTTAAAAGTCTCCACTATCATTCCTCAAGATTTTCAAGTCATACCCACTTATCAACTAAAAATCATATTTATGTGGCTGAAGTGCAGTGCAATGATTTCCAAATATGAACACACGTAATACTTTAACAAAGTAGCTAGCATATCAAACTTCAACACAATTCTTGAGTTAAAGCAATTAAATACCACAAGTATGCCCAATCACTCAATGTATAGAACAAAAGAATACCATGAGCACTAAATTTTTATTTTTTTTTAACAAAATAACTAACTCATAGCTGCAAGCAAATATATAAATTCTTCTCAAAATAAGTATTTTCTCCCCCCAAACTAAACAATGCATTGTCCTGAATGTAAAAAATAAAATCAAAAAGTTAAGGAGATTACCTTAAATGATTAACCATGTCTATATGTGCCATTGCCTGCAAGGGGTTAGCGCCAAAAAACAGAAAGGAAAAAAAATACAAACGAAAAACTAACAACTCCTAAAAGTAACATTATTTTGAATAACATGCACAAACCGGATCATTGGAAATTTTAATCAATAATTTTGAACAACTTTTTGAATGGAGTAAAGGAAGTTGGAATCGTCGATCGCTAATTATCTAAAAACTACAAAAAGGGTGTTTTTAGTTTCTACAACACGCCACAACAAATGAAACACAAAATTCCAACAAAATCTCTACAAAAGAAGAGATAAAATTGCATAAGATAATACATGTATTAGCAGTTCACTCTTTGCATGTTTTTTTCCACATGAAACTATTAACAAAGTTTTTTTTTCCCACTTTTCCTTCCATTTCTTTTTCCCTTCTCATACAAGATCCACCGGATGCTTATCTTGAAATATAGCCCAAATTATTGGAAAGGAATTTCCAAACCTCACACATATGTTAGAACACTATAGCAATCGCAATCAAATACTTCACAGGATCAATATAAATAAATTATATATTACCTATATATATATATATAACACCACGTATATCAGTATAACCAATTGCCCTATTTTTGTTTCATCATAGAGTAGTTGAAAAAGGCGTCCTTTCAATACATTATGGAAACAAAAACCTATGAACTACTCAATTCTCAATTCAACAGCACACCCAATTTTCAAACAACACAATTCAAATAATTTTGGTTGAAACTCATATTAAATTGTATGAATCGAATCATGCATCATACAATTCTAACACCATACTAGTTGGAACCTGTAAAAGCGGTGTCAATAGAATTATTTTGATCAGTTACTCATGAAATACAACATCCATTTCCAAGGAATTCTAGCAATGTAAGTGAATTTATTCTTCAGTGATAACTGAGACTAGAAATTACATGGTTGTCGACTCTGCTAGCTGGTGCCGGAGGCAAGACGAGATCTGCTTCCAGATCAGGTTGAAGATATGCAAGCACCCCCATCACCTTCTATCTCCATGCCCATGTTAGCTTCCCAAGAATCACACTCTGCATCACAACATCAAAAAGGATAAATGAAAAAAATAAAAACTAAAAAAAACTAGGGCCCAATTTAGTCTCCATTTCCAAGCAATGGCAGCAACATAAGTGAAGGAATTCTTGAGTGATAACTGAGATTACCTGGTTGTTGACTCACTGCTCAGTTGAGGAATTCTTTAGTCTTCATCACTTGTGTTACTACTCGCTGCTCAGTTGCCATTGAATAAAAAAAGGTCTACATTAATCGCCCAAAAAACGCATGGATTTATTATATATAGCCCAACAGACATTAATTATGTAGCAACTACCGCCAATAAACTACTAAGTGAATTTTTAGACCATGTTGTAGAAGCTACACTGAAATTTCGAAATCTTAGCAAGAGAAAACTTCTAACTAATTTCCCTGCATTACTCCCTCAGGTATGATTTGAGATTGGCATGATTCTTTGCTTAGGATTTAGTTTCTTTATTTGAATGAATTTTCAGATTTAGAAGTAGAAAATAAGAAATATGAAACATGGATATCAAATATTTTGGTAACTTATCCTCCTGTAACATCAGTCTTGCATTTGTAGTTTTCTCCATTATTGCTAAAGCTCCTGAAATGTAGAGAAGCAAGTTCCTCATGTCATCTTTTTGTTCTGTTCTTAATAGATATATGTAATTTATTTTATTGGAATAGTCTTAGTTATAATTCGTGTAATTGTGGTGTCCTCGAGATATTTGCATATGACAAATGCTAAAAGTGCTGGATATTAGGATTGAAATAAAGAAGTGTCTTGAAAATAGGTCAAACAGTTAAAAGAAGTGCATTAATTTCAATAAAAACTGCATTAAATTTAATAAAAAGTGTCTTGTGTTTTCAAATTGACTGGACAAGAGTTGACGAACTCCACGAAGCTGTTGCCACTCTCTCTAAAAACCTCTCTCTCAATTCTAATCTATCTAGTAGTGAGAGTTTTTTTTTTTTTTTTTGGTTTTTTTTGAACTGTGTAGTGAGACAGTTTGGTTTTTCCTGTTTTCTGTCTCTCTAGTCTCTCTACCTGTAACCAAAATTTCAGCCCCCGAATAAATATTGTCCTTATTTGGATGGTTAATTTGATGACCGTGAAAAAGTCAAATGATTATTGATTATATGTGATATTTTATTTTATTAATTATTTTAATTTATTTTATCTTTTAGTGAGTAATTTTAGTTCAATTCTCTTTTCAAACACCTCTAATATAAAGAATAATGATAATGAAATTATTTAGTGAAAAATTATTGTTTTAATTTTTTTTTTTCTATTTGTATCTTATTGCTGCTAGATCATCAGACTACTGGAAAATGGTTGGAAAAGACGCCATAAAGTTGCTGACACAACTGTTGGTGGTGGTGATTTGGACAAATAGATATATTAGATGGACAAAATAGACAAATCAATTGAACAGATAGGTGATATAGAGTGCCTCTATGTACAAATCACTTTTCATCTTAAGGCACACCACTACTCAAGGTACTCCTTTAGTAATTTAAAAAATAAGAAATTTGCTCAATATACACTACAATATTCTATTTTTACCCTTAGTCACATACCTCACCACCAACACCGCCTGTAACCCAACTCCGTCGCCGGCGCGGTATAGCCCCTCTCCCTTCCTCTCTCTTTTTCACCATCGATACCGTCACTCCCCGATCCCCTAATTTCTCCATCACTGGCACTGTTTCTTCCCCTATTTAGCCATCTCTTTTTCTCATCAATTCTCCCCAACTCCCTCATGTTCCCCACTACCCCTTCCCTAACCCTCTTCTGTTAATGCCATATCCCCCAACCCTGCAAATCTCGAGCAAGAGAAAGAAAGAGATTCAACGAAGAAGTAAAGAAATAGTGGCGAAAAACCAGCATCGAACAAATTATCAATGTTCTGATATTGTCTTTTCGAATTGGTTTACGATGTTCGGAAGTTGCAGAACGAACTTCAGTCGCAAGTTCAGATATTGCAAATCGACCATGGTTTGCGATCTAGTAGTGGTGGGCGGCAAAAGAGGGCTACGGTTTTAGAAGAAGAAAATAAGAGAGGTGGTGGTTGTGCACAAGGTAGAGGATAAGACAATGGTTCTGGTTGGAGAATGAAGGGTTGCGGTGGTTCTAAGAAGAGGGAAGAACGGTAGAGTAAATAAGGACGATGGAAAAAGGAGTGATATCAATCGTGGAGTGGCTGTGGAGAGGGATCACGAAAGTGGGGAGTTAAGAGATGGCTGGCGTTGTGCTGGGAGTGATGGTGGCAACAACACATTTTTCGGCGAGGTGAGGGGTGGCTGTTAGGGTTTCAGGAAAGAAGATGAGGGTAATTTGGATATTTAATTTGGGGATATAATTGTAATTATATTTTTTTAGAAAATGGTGTGTCTTGAGATGAAAGGTGATGCGTAAATAGAGGCACTCGGTGATATATGAATAAATATGATAATGATACATGGACAAATAGGTTGACAGATAGAATATTTGGATAAATAAGAATGTTTACAGTAACAGATTGTAACGCCTCAACCCTTCACATGTCATCGATGTTGTCCGCTTTGGGTCATACTCGCACGGATTTGTTCTTTCCAGTGGGTTACTCATCCCAGAACTACTCCAGCCTAAGCACGCTTAACTGGGAGTTCTGCTAGAGATTTCACTACCTTGGAAAAGGCTTCGATGCGATATAAGGGTCTAGGTTTACTTTTATAGCTTAGGAACTCCTCTTCCATTCCCGATGTGGGACACTGGGACCTTACACAGATAGACAGAAAGATAAGAATAATATGACCTTTCAAATTATTATTTTTTGGATAAATTACAAATACACCCCCCTGAGGTTTGCTTAAAATACGAATTGCCCCTTGTGGTTTGAAAAATTACAAATACCTCTCTGTCAGAATTTTTTTATTTAACAGAATTAATTGAAAAAGTGAAATTTATAACTGTTCACCTATACAATAATAAAATTATCTGAATTATTAATTGAAATACAATTTTAACATTATGAAAAACTGTTAATTAACTTGATAATTTATTAATAAAAAAACCTATTTGTCATGAAATTAAAAACCTTGGGGGCATAATGTAATTTCTAAAACCACAGGGAATAATTTGTAATTTAAGTAAACTTCAGGGGCGTGCTTGTTATTTACCCTTATTTTTTTGTCACCAAAAATATAGAATTTGGAGCTATTATTCCAAAATTTCTAAAATTTGACTTATGACCTGAGCTCCCTCAGATAAATTATAAATGTCTTTAGAGATTTGTCAAAAATAATTCTCTCCTTATATTCTAGAAATTACAAATCCCTCATTGTGAGAATTTATCATTCACCTCAACTCACCTAACAGAAAAAAAATAATAAAATTATTCAAAAGAAAATATTTGTGACCTCTAAAAAGTCCTTTAATTTAAGTCACAATGATATGGCATGATAAGTGTTAATTTTTGATTTATCACACACTTAACTACATTGAACCAACTCTATTACTATATCATTGTGGGTGAACTATTGTGAATCTTTAGTATTTCTCATTACCCAAATATCCTCTAGTAACAACATGAAAATTATGATACGACTTTCATTTCAATCCATAATTCACTAGATCATTCTCTTCATGCAATTATAATATTTTCTGATTCTTCTTGGCGACACACCAAGTACTTATAGGCAATAATTGTAGTAGTGTTGATTGAGAGTGGGAGAGAATAGTGTTACTAGTTGAAAAAAAATGAGGAATAATGAAGGCAGAGTAGGACCAATAAAAAATAAAATAAGATTTTTAACTTCATAAAAGTTAATATAAACATTTAAAATAAAAAATTGTTCATTATATTATAGATTCTGTTAGTTAAAGGTTGATTAAAGAAAAATGTCATTTGTTACATGATTAAAAATCTCAAGAGATTGGATATAATTTCCCGAGTGTGATGGAATAATTTATATTTTTGATAAACCTCAAAAGGCATATTTTTAATTTGCCAATTTTTGGTTCAATCAACCCGTGGCCGGGTCGACCGGTTCACCGGTTTAACCGGTGGGTTCACCGGTTTTCAAAAAATAGGCCGGTTTTTTCAAATGGCCGGTTTAAGAGGGTCTACCGGACCGGAACCCCATCGGCCGGTCCGGTCCGGTTTTTAAAACCATGCTAGAAATTACAAATCCCTCATTGTGAGAATTTATCATTCACCTCAACTCACCTAACAGAAAAAAAATAATAAAATTATTCAAAAGAAAATATTTGTGACCCCTAAAAAGTCCTTTAATTTAAGTCACAATGATATGGCATGATAAGTGTCAATTTTTGATTTATCACACACTTAACTACATTGAACCAACTCTATTAGTATATCATTGTGGGTGAACTATTGTGAATCTTTAGTATTTCTCATTACCCAAATATCCTCTAGTAACAACATGAAAATTATGATAGGACTTTCATTTCAATCCATAATTCACTAGATCATTCTCTTCATGCAATTATAATATTTTCTGATTATTCTTGGCGACACACCAAATACTTATAGGCAATAATTGTAGTAGTGTTGATTGAGAGTGGGAGAGAATAGTGTTACTAGTTGAAAAAAAATGAGGAATAATGAAGGCAGAGTAGGACCAATAAAAAATAAAATAAGATTTTTAACTTCATAAAAGTTAATATAAACATTTAAAATAAAAAATTGTTCATTATATTATAGATTCTGTTAGTTAAAGGTTGATTAAAGAAAAATGTCATTTGTTACATGATTAAAAATCTCAAGAGATTGGATATAATTTCCCGAGTGTGATGGAATAATTTATATTTTTGATAAACCTCAAAAGGCATATTTTTAATTTGCCAATTTTTTATTTTTATTTTTATTTTTTATTGTGCAGAAAAGGAGCATTTTCACTTACTTAAATTTATATTAAACTTAAATTTAAATATTTCATGGACTCAATTTATAGCAAATAAAATTTTACTCGAATTTTCGCTTTAAATCAAAGACACTCAAATGTATAACTAAAATTTTCATAACTGTTTTGTGACTCAAATTTATAAATTTGAATAAAATTTTAAGGAAAAGCTAAAGATTGCCTAATGTGAGTTTTTTTTATAAACATCAAATGTTATCTGTCTATTTATTAATGAATATAGTAAAAAAAAAAAGAATAAAATAATAAAAAATGTTTAAGACTCTTAAAAAAGTTTATTTAATTTGATTTTCAATGAAAGGACACGATAAATATTAATTTTTGATTTGTCACATGCCTAACTATATAATGTTGAACTTTCTTGTCACGTCATTGTGATTAGATTTATAATATTTCTTTAA